CTCATTGTGTTCCACATTCCTAGTTATTGCCTAATTTGGGAGTTATATAACCAGCTGAGTGGCTTGAGCCCCCAAAGTGAGACAATTGGTCTTTACATTATACAGACTTGGAAATGACTCTCGTATCGTTTCCCTACGTTGAATAGCAAAATGACGCAATTTTATTCAATTAATATGATAAAGGATTGAATATATCTTATTTATAATTATAGAAAATATTAATTATTTAATTAATAATAATTAAATCTTGAACAGTGTATGTTATATTCACTAGTTACCTTAATGTTTGAGATAAAAAACGAAAAAAGATTGAAGACAAACGACGTCATTTTTGCTCTCACAATGAAAAAAATTGCTACAGTGAAATAAAATGAAATAATTTATTATTGATTTCTACAATAACTTCACATATCCTTTTTATATAGTACAGATAGATAGATCTATTCATATGAAGCCCATAATGGGGACTATCGTCTTGGTCACTACCAGAGTCCATATCCTTTTAAGTAATCCAGCGGGTAGAGGTGAACGCAGTTCAGTTTGAACGGTTTGTTTTATATTTTTAACTCAAACCATTTTATGCGGTTTGAAATCGAAACAGGCAAAATGTTCACTCCGTCCGTGCTGTTCCTCTGTGCACGGAGTGAACGGGGATGGAGACTAATTTTTTATTTTTATTTTTAAAATTTTTAACAAAGTAAATCTGAAACATTAAGTGATTTATATTAAAAAATGAGATCCTTTGTCAAAAATTTGGGTGAGAGGAGTAAATTAAGTGATTTATTCGTGTGCCCCTTTTTTATTAAAAAATCTGAAACATTGTGATATTACAAAATCTGAAACATTTAGTAAATTAAGTGATATTAAAAAAATCTGAAACATTAAGTGATTTATACGTGTGCCACTTTTTATTATTTTTTTAGTATTTTTTTTTACATAATTGTAAGTTAAAAGGACTTCATTCTACTCTTCCACATTTTTTTTAAAATATTTGCCTGCAATTTTGTTGTTTAATTTGTTAAATCATTCAGTTTCTTTTCTTTATCAGTTGGAAACTTTATCGGTTGGAGTGGATGAGTTGAAGTAGTTTGTGAAAATGGAGAAATATTGCAGTGGGCGTGATGGTTGCATGGCATGTGAAGCGAAAAAAGATTGAAGACAAACGACGTCATTTTTGCTCTCACAATGAAAAAAATTGCTACAGTGAAATAAAATGAAATAATTTATTATTGATTTCTACAATAACTTCACATATCCTTTTTATATAGTACAGATAGATAGATCTATTCATATGAAGCCCATAATGGGGACTATCGTCTTGGTCACTACCAGAGTCCATATCCTTTTAAGTAATCCAGCGGGTAGAGGTGAACGCAGTTCAGTTTGAACGGTTTGTTTTATATTTTTAACTCAAACCATTTTATGCGGTTTGAAATCGAAACAGGCAAAATGTTCACTCCGTCCGTGCTGTTCCTCTGTGCACGGAGTGAACGGGGATGGAGACTAATTTTTTATTTTTATTTTTAAAATTTTTAACAAAGTAAATCTGAAACATTAAGTGATTTATATTAAAAAATGAGATCCTTTGTCAAAAATTTGGGTGAGAGGAGTAAATTAAGTGATTTATTCGTGTGCCCCTTTTTTATTAAAAAATCTGAAACATTGTGATATTACAAAATCTGAAACATTTAGTAAATTAAGTGATATTAAAAAAATCTGAAACATTAAGTGATTTATACGTGTGCCACTTTTTATTATTTTTTTAGTATTTTTTTTTACATAATTGTAAGTTAAAAGGACTTCATTCTACTCTTCCACATTTTTTTTAAAATATTTGCCTGCAATTTTGTTGTTTAATTTGTTAAATCATTCAGTTTCTTTTCTTTATCAGTTGGAAACTTTATCGGTTGGAGTGGATGAGTTGAAGTAGTTTGTGAAAATGGAGAAATATTGCAGTGGGCGTGATGGTTGCATGGCATGTGAAGCGAAAAAAGATTGAAGACAAACGACGTCATTTTTGCTCTCACAATGAAAAAAATTGCTACAGTGAAATAAAATGAAATAATTTATTATTGATTTCTACAATAACTTCACATATCCTTTTTATATAGTACAGATAGATAGATCTATTCATATGAAGCCCATAATGGGGACTATCGTCTTGGTCACTACCAGAGTCCATATCCTTTTAAGTAATCCAGCGGGTAGAGGTGAACGCAGTTCAGTTTGAACGGTTTGTTTTATATTTTTAACTCAAACCATTTTATGCGGTTTGAAATTTTTTCAAACCAAACCAAACCATAATTTACGTCTGGTTCGATTTTAATTCGCGGTTTACCTATCGACATTATGGTAATACATTTAACATAAATTAAATTATAAGTTTAAATGAGAACTAATAATGTTACATATTAAATTGCATTTTTATTTACCATAAAACTCATGAATAAATTATTTTCAAAGTTGGCTGCTAAAAAATGTTAATAGAACAAATACATCTTTCTTCATTTTTATTTACTTTTTCTTGTTTAACATTCATATTATCTTATAACTGTTGGTAAAGGTAGAGTTACATTCTGTTATTATAATTTGGTTAAAACACCTTTTGTCTTAATAGTGAGACGCTAAATAAGGATTGAACGTGATATATTTAAATGTACAAAGATTGATAGGGTTTCAACTTCTTAGGAATTGACAAATTTCATTCTCTAACTACTTTATGAAAGTGGAATGTAGTAGTACTAGTTAGGGAACTTTAACATTTTCACACAATCAATACGATCCGTCCTTCGTTCTTTTCAAATCACAAACAAATTCATTAATCATCTAGGCACACAAATAGTAATTTTTCAATCCAAACCACAATTCAAAGGTGTATAATAAGTTCAAAAACAACAAATATAAGAAAGAACAATGGAAAAAATGACTTGAATGAGAATATGAGACTTACCGAAAGAGATGGGGAAAGAGGCGATTCATGTAGAAATCAGCATACTAACAGGCAAAACCGACTAATGATTCATTTAGTAGTGGCAGACAAGTATAAAATGTTAGGAAAATGAGGTTTATGTTAGGACTTCTGAAACTTTGGACGTAATTTCCTTACGTAGTTTTATTGAATTATGATTTTGAAAATATATGTTTTTTTATTTTATTTTATACGATTTTGGAATAATTTTAGTTTAGTTTAGATATCAGGTAACGACATGTATTGTGAACTTGTTAAACCATAGACCAATAATAATGAAACTAATTTACTTTCTATAATTATTTTAATAGGTTGGTTGTAATTTATATTGCTAAATTGGTATTTTTTCTGAAAAGTTAAAATTGTAAAATCTTTAAGTTAATAAAATTAATGTTTTAATTAAAAATTTTAAAACGATTCAGTTCAATTTTGTGCGGTTTTTGAAAATCAAAATCTAAACCAAATCACTTTGAAACAGTTTGGTTCGTTTTAGGGGAAAAAATCACGGGTCTACGTGGATCCAAATAAACGGTTTCAACTCAACGGTTTCGATTCGATTTGCGATTTTTTTTGGCAACCCTACGAGCAGATATTGACACAAAATCCTCCATCAAAATCTTATAAAATATGAATTTACTCTGCTCTTTAAATAAAAATAAATAAATAAATGTTCAAAAAGTGTAAACGAGTTCAGTTAAAACAAGTAAATAAAATAAAAGAAAAAATGAAGTAAAAAAATTACCTCTTCACAAACCGAAATTCAATTGTCCCTATCAATATCTCCTTCCACCACCGTCACCACATTTTCCCTCCCCTCTCCTTCCACGCATCAATCCTCCGCCTTTCACTTACCAACACGATTTTAATCCAAGGTTAGAAAAAAAAGGGTGTTCATCTTTGTCTTCATCATCATTAGACCAGAATTATCAATTTAAGCGGGAAATTTTGTTGGGTAAAAGATCAGGTGGATCAAGCACTCTTATGCCAATTTGGAAGAGGATGAGCTCAAGATCACCATCACTGAAAAATGACGAGTACTAAAATGGTGGTGATAAAGCTAAAGATTTACAATCTCGCTATATGTATATCCTAGTTTTAACATGGATTGTCTTTGATACCACTTGTTGAATATTTATAAACTTAAACTTTATTAATCTATATATATTGTCAAGATTTTCATGTCAAATCATCAAGAGAACTGATAAATGTGGAAGGGCCTTATATAGGCCCCTGTATACAGGGGGTCGAGCTAGCCCCCTGTGATTGGTTGGGGGTTGACAATGCAGGGCCCAATGTGGAATATATCGTGATCCATTTTTTTGAATCTTGAAAATCAACTTGGAATCTCTTTACTTTTAGGTTTTTGCCCTTCAATCTTGATTGCTTTAATTCTTTATTCTTAATTGTTGATTTTGATTATGGGTTTTGGATCTTCCTATTCAATATATTTTCTCTTGTACTCTTATGTGTTAATCTATGGTTGATTTCATCCTCAATACTTTGATCATAACAAACTAGATTAATATTATTTCTAACAATTTATTTTGAATAATGATATTTCAATGTTAAAATCAATTAAGTATAAGTATTCAGGTTAAATCATTCAAGACAAAGAAAGATCAAGAGCACAAGATATGACATCAAAGAAAGAGGCCAAGATCGAAGTCACACATTCAAGAATTTAAGAACCAAATTTTCCCGTCCTAAGTGAGCACTCGCGTATAGGAACCAATGATCAATCATTCCTGGCCGTCAACCCCAAGAGGAATGTCATTGATTTGCCCGCTTAAGGGCTTTTCCCTTTGAAGCTAAAATTTCCCTTGCCCACGTCACATCCCCCATCGTTACAGCTTCAAGATTTTCTTCCTAAACCCTTTATAGTGGATGAGGGCATGACCTACGACGAGCTAGGAGTGAATTCGTCTATCTAAATGCCAGTCAACTCTTTCCTTCAAGAGAAGAAGAACAACAAGGAGCGTAACTTCACTTTTGCTAGTATTTTCAATAGGACCAAGATTGTCTATTGATTTATTTATTCCACATTTGAATACTCAGTACATGGATGTATCATGGGATTAACCCGACCCCCTCCAAAGGCTCCCGAGAAAGCTATTTCAGCTTGTCGGGCAGTCCTCGCATTCCATCCGATGGAATAGAGTACCCTCGTGCCTACGAAATCCAATCATTAAAAACAATTTTTGTACATTAAAAATCTTCCAAATGCAACGTTTTGATTAAATATAAAAATGACTTTTAAAAATGAAATTTTGACTTTAAAGAAATTTTTATCATGAAAAGTTAGTTAAAAATATTTTTCAAAAGTCCATGCACTTTAAAACTCTCAAATCAGAACAAACGGGGCTAAAACGTAAAAGGACCGCACTGTCGAGGCGGTCGACTGGATCCATCTTCAACGATCCAAAATTTGACCGTTCTGACTTCTGATTTTTGCTGTACAAACTGCTATATTGATCTTCTGGACAAGCGGCAGTAGACTGGACTTGTCTTCTACAAATAAAGATTATTATTATTATTATTATTATTATTATTATTATTATTATTATTATTATTATTATTATTATTATTTTTACATTTTTAAACTCTATAAATATCCTCACTCTTTCCATTCTTCACAAGATTTT